CCAAGGTAAATTGGATGGGGAAGAAACACAAGTGAAGGATGCAAAGCCTGTGCTTGGCTGCGATCCTCACTGCACCTGGGGAAGGAGGCCCTCCCTTAAATTCTCGTAACTTACACAACTACCCGGAGCCGATGACTCTTCCAGGCTTTCCCACATAAGAATAACTAACATGGGTTGAGGACTTCGTAGGCCTGGCGTCTTAATTGTGTTGACTCATTTTACCTTATGAAACCCTGTGAGGTCAGTGTTATAACTCTCTCCCACTTCAGAGACGAATAAATCAAGGCAGGAAGAGGTTGAGTAACATGTCCACGGTCACACACAGCTCAGAGTGGCACTCTTGCCCACCATGCCATCCTGGTACTGTACTCACGGAAAGGATAAGGAAACCATGAAATGAGTCAGAATAACTGTGTTCGTCAGCTTTCCATCCCTGTAACAAATACCTGAGACAGTCAACTTATAAACAAAAAAAGTTTATTTTGGCTCACCATTTTGTAGATGCCAAACCAGGACTGGTTAGCCCCCAGGAGGGTGAGACCTGTGGTGAGGCACCATGTCAGGGTACAAGCTGGTTGCAGACAAAAGCCACTCCCCTCATGGCCAGGAAACAAAAGAAAAAAAAAAGAGGAAGGGGTTGGGTTAGCCCGTTCCCCTTCAAGAACATGCCCCCTGATAACCCAAAAGCCTCCCACTATGTCCTTCAGCTTAAGATTCCACCACCTCCCACAGCACCACCCTGGAGACCAAACCTTGAACACATGGGCTTTGGGGGACATTAAAGATCTAAACTATAGCAATGACACATCCCCTTTCTCCTTAGAGAAGGACATTTCCAAGCTCCCCAAGTGACATTTGCCCCCACTCAAGAATCAAACGACAGGGATTTTACAAACTAGAAAATGCCCTTCTTGGTCACATAGAGAGACACAATGCCTGCTACAGGTTCTCAATGGCCTCAAGAGAACCAGGAATAAGGGGACCCGAGAGTTCTGACTGATGTTTGTTTCAAACATTCCAGGGGTAACCCCAATACACATTGTGGTCTACTTTCTTCCATATTTTTCTATGCATCTATAAATATCACCATAGATTCATAGAGATATATTTTGACATTCTTCCTTATTCACTTCACATTACCTCATGACGATTTCCCATCTTTCTGGAAGGCAATGGAGTGTAGTGGTGAAGACCACCATTTGGACCATCAGAAAGCTCGGGTTCAAATCTTGGCTCTAGCACTCTGTGACCTATCAATTCCTTCGTCTTTAGCTCTTTCTTCATTATCAATTTTTTTTTTTAGCTTAACTGAGGTATGATGGACAGATTTCATTGGTTAAAAAAAAATCTCCAAAAATTGATAAATAAGGGGACAGATTGTGAGAGGGGAGACCCGTGTGGGAACCAAGCTATGGGGTTAACTTCTATATCCCCAAGGGAGCCCTCCAGCTCCAGTGCCTGGACAAACCTCCATCCTCCAGGTAAAAGGTCAGRCAGGCACTGGGGAGGCTCGTCTGGGAGGCCACAGGCTTGGATCCACACCAAGAGGAGTCTGAATGCTTCCCATTCCCACCGGGGACCCCAGCAACTTTCAAGGCAGCCAGGCTTTGGTGAATCCACTTGTTGTGTCCCTCTGAGGACATGGCCACCTTTCAGCAGGGTCATATCTCCCTCAAAGCTGGCCTACTTTTATAAGCATGAGTCTTGTTCCACTGGATGGGGACTGTGTTCCTTTACATGACTGAGAGAACAAACTCAGTCTTGGGCCCCCGAGCAGCCAGGGGCTCCCAGGAGCAGAACCAGCATTCCCTGAGGCCCGGCTGCATCTTGGCCACAATGGGATGTGTGTCTGTGCATTTTCTTGATCACCTGGCCTAAGAAGCATGGGTACCACGGAGCTTTCCTAGACCCGCCCTGCACCCCATGTGCAACCTCACAAGGTGGAAAGTGCAGGCTGAGCGAGGGCAGGCTGCCCACCTAGCACCCTCACCAGTGGCGTGGCCTGTCCCGTCCTCTCGCCAGCAAAGAACATCAGCATCTGCCGCCGGCAAAGGAAATTAGGAGGTCTCAAGGTCGGGAGGGGACGGCAGAGTTGTCCAAAGCCATCTGAAAGGAACTGGGGAGCTGGGAGGGGGAGGGCAGAAGAGAGGTGCCAAGGGCACTAAGCATGGAGCGTCTGTGACCCTCGGCGGAGGCTGGCTCCACGTTGATTTCCTCCCAGAAGCCTGACGGCAGCGCAGACGTCCACATGCTCCGTATCAAAGTTCTCAATAACATGTACTTCCTGCCAGAGCCCAGAGCCGCCTTCTTTGCCAGCATGAGGGCTCTGGGAGCCCAAGGGTGCCAGGAGGGAAAGAGGCAGAGGGTGGGTGAAGCTGGTCAAGCTTCCCTGAGGGCCACCCAGCCTCCCTGTGACAGGCTCCAGCCCTGCCACCCCTCCTGCCTCCCCAGCCGGCTCCCTCTCCTCTCCCAAGTTGCAGAGGGTGCCCTGGCCACATGCTGGTGGGACTGGTTTTACGGGAAATCTGTGAAACTTAGTCCCTAGAAGGTGGGATTCCTCCCCCTCTTTATTTTTTCCTTTTCCCACGCTCCCCCCCACCCCACCCCACCCCCTTTTTTTTTCCAGAAACAGGGCCTGTGGCTCCACACCTCTGTTACACATATTGGTTCTGACAGCTCAAATTAATATGTCAGATGCCGCGATCCTCGCTGGCGACAGGCCTTTTGACCCTATCAGCGCAATCTGCTTCCCTGATTGAAAATCTCTGTGCCTCAAATTGATTCCGAGTTTTATAAACATCCTGCAGCCACAATCCAAGAAAGCCACCGAGGAAAAGCCTGGGAGAGCTGCCCTAGCTGGGCTCTGCCCCCACCCCCTACCCCCGGTCAGTGGGCAGCAGGGCAGGACACACAAAGGGGTTAAAGAAAGGTCCAGCCTGAGCCAAGAGTCCTAGAGACCCCTAGATCATCCGTGTCCCAGGTCTGGAGGGGACAGACCCACATCCACCCTGACTGTATCTGAAAACAAGATTGGAATGATCCAGAGAGAAGGTACCTGAKGAGGCAGTGAAAGGCCTGGGTTGTTGAGCTCTGCCATCCACTTCCTGTGTGACCTTGGAAAAGTTCCTTAATCTCTCTGAAACTTAAGTTTTCTCTTAATAAAACGAGGATGATCATAACCATTCACAGTAGACTCAGGAGGGAAGGCGACCAGGCATTCTGAGAGCACTGGTTGTAATAGTGCACTGAGGCAACAGATAAAACGAAATCGGTAAAATGTTGATAATCATAGATGCTGGGAGATGGATACACAGGAATCCACTAGGCTCTGAGCTCTCCCCTCTAATTTTGTGTTTTTGAAAATTTCCAAAATACATTTTTTAAATAATAGACATCAACTCATAAAATGCTTAAGTCTTACTAGTATGTTTGTGTGCCTGTGGGTGTGTTTGTGGATGTGTGTGTGGACATACCCACAAACAAGCAGAGAGTGAGGAACAAGCAGAGCTCTTTGTGTGCAGACGGGTCTGGGAGGTTTCTGCCATGCAGGGCCCGGGCAGTTCCTCCCAAGTTCCTCCACCAGCCCCCACCACCCTTCCTGGGTCTGGAGCCCGGCCCTTGGCGGCAGGAAGGGGACTTCTCCATTGACCTGCTGTCTCCTGAGTAGCACCGTGAGCCCTTGGGGTGCAGGGATGGGAATGCCTAGCAGGGACCTCAGTCCCTGGCACCCAGCATGGCACACTCCGTGGTTAAACAGCTGATCCACTCCTAGACCACACACCCACTCCACTGGCTTTGCAATGCTAGGGCCTCCCTCCAGTCAGTCAGCCAGGATGCTTCCAGCACCTTCCACTCTGCTACCTTCCCRGTAGTGCCGCCTCTTGGATACGTGACCCCCAGGCAGCCTGAGGAAGTGGACGGAGGAGACCACCATCTTTACTAGGACTCCTCAGAAGGACGGGGGGGGGGGGCCTTTCAGGACTCCATTTTGCTGTGCCTACCAGGAAACTCTCATGGGCTTACACACTTGGAGCCTCTGCCTGACCCCAACATCAGGACCACGCATCTGCTGGCCAGCCCCTCCAGAGCAGATTCCCATGGAGGCAAGAAGCGCAGGCTCTAGGATGCTGGCAATTCTATTCTCCCCACCCTGACAGTGCAACAGAAAGAACACAGAATTCCTTCCCAGTTAGCCAGGTACGGTGGTACCTGCCTGTAATCCCAGCTACTGGGGATGCTGAGGCAGGAAAATCACAAGTTCAAGACCAGTCTGGGTCTTTGAGACCCTATCTCAAATAAAAATAAAAGGGGCTGGGGTGGTATGTCAGTGGTAGAGCGCTTGGTTAGTATGTGTGAGGCCTTGGGTTCATCCCCAGTACCAAAAAGGAAAAAAAAWATATATCATTTGATTCATTCCACCCTCCCCTTCTCTCACTGCTCCTATAAGGCTGTGTCTGGTGGGAAACAGGRTGGAGAGGAGAAAGGAAGGAGAAGGTAAAGGCTGGCTATGACTTCCAAGTGAACTCAAATTATACCCATAGTAGGGCCTCATTTGACCCTACTATGACCCATCTGAACCCWGGGGGGGAACTTAGCAATCTCAGCTCCTCAGGCAAGGCCAATGGTCATCATGACGCGGGTCAGCAGCCTCGCTGCAAAGCAGGCAGCTCCCTGCCACTGACCAGCTCCCTGAGCCTCTGGAGAAATAACAGCTGAACACAGTCACCTCCCCGCCTTCTTCCCTACCCTTCCGCTCCCCCACCCCCAGTTGTCAAAAATCAAAATGCTTTCTGGCCAGCCTCCTCCAGCATAAGACAAAATACTCACTCCCTGCAAGTTGCCTCTAAATAGACAACGACAAACGGATGTGACATTTGTGTCTTTGAATTCCATCTGTCTGGGGAGCTCTTGGTCTCTCCAGCGCTACCGAACTGGTCCCAGGCACGTTCGGTCCAGGGTAACACAAGGCCTTGGACTCAGATCCTGGCTCCTCCACTCACCAGCATGTGACCTGGGGCAAGTGCCTTAACCATTCTRTGCCTCAGTGTCTGCATCTACAAAGTGGGAATCCTCCGTGGGCCTGTTGCAGGAATGGCTGAGCTGGTATCTCTGAAGCACGAGGAATAGTGGGCAACACATCATAAATTAGCGTTCTTAGGCCTGGGGCTGGGGCTCAGTGGTAGCACACTTGTCTGGCATGTGTGAGGCACTGGGTTCRATTCTCAGCACCACCTATAAATAAATAAAATAAAGGTCTATCAACAACTAAAAAATACTTTAAAATTTAGCATTCTCGCACATTAGCTGCCACCTTCATCGTCTCTGTTCACTAGGAACCCTTGTCTCTGGCTCACTAAAAGCTGATCTTTTTCTTCTCTTCATCTACAAGCAGCTTACTCACCACTTCATTCACCAAGCAGCCTGTTCTCAAAGTCCAAACTGTGTCTCAAAACTAAAATAGGCTGTTTCTTTCCCAAACTCCCTTCTTCAGGCCAGATTCTGGCTCATTCATGGCACCTCGTGACCCCCTCAAAACGTTGGATTTTTCCCCTGCACAACCAACAAGATCTCCTTTGTTCATCCATGGGCTCGTATGAATAATGGCCGCCAGTCTGCAAAGCTCTTTTACTGACAATAAACTATTAATCCTTTATGGAGGCTGGGAAACCTAAGGGGTTGGCTTGCGGCCTTTCCTTTCCCACTAGCAGTTGGTAAATGGCAGAGCCAAAGTCGGGCTCCTGGCCTGTCTGACCCCAGGTCCTCTCTGAACATCACCTGCTCTCAGGAAATGCAGGAGATTATACACCTGAGAAAGAACTAAGGGGAAATGGGTGCAGGAGAAGCTGCCCTCTCCAGTTCCCCAAGGGCGGGCATAAAATTGGGAGACTGGCCCATGGCCTCTGTGTGGAAACTGTGTGTGCACACTGACATTCTGCTGTTGGTGGAAGCGAAGGAGGATGATTATACAATAATTTCTTTTCTTAGTAAGGAAAAAAATTAGAATCCTCTGGGACTTTGGGCAAGTMACTTTCTTTTTCRGTCCTAATCAGTTATACATGACAGCAGAATGCATTTTGACACATTGTATACAAATGGAGCACAACTTCTCATTCCTTTGGCTGTACACCTTACAGAGTCACACTGGTGTGCAATCAATCATACATGCACATTGGGTAATAATGTCCATCTCATTCCACCATCGTTCTCTCCTCCACACACCCTCCCCTCTATCCTCACTTCTCTCTGCATAATCCAAGTTCCTCCATTCTTCCCCATCCCCCACCCCCATTATGGATCAGTATCTGCTTATCAGAAAAAAACATTCGGCATTTAGTTCTTTGGGATTGGCTTGTTTCACTTAGCATGATATTCTCTAGCTCCACCCATTTATTTTTTATTTATTTATTTTTGCATTACAATTCTTAATACACCTTTATACCACAATTTATCATATCTCTGATAGTATATAAGGTATGTTGACACCAAATTCACATCTTAATACATGTGCTTTGTTTAATGATGAGGGTTTCCTTTCACCATCCATGCTTTCCCCTTCTCTCTCTCTCTTTCCCTCCCACCCCTATTCCCTATCTAGAGGTAATCTTCCTCCCTTGCTCTCCCTCTAGCTCCATCCATTTACCTGCAAATGCCATAATTTCATTCTTCTTTTAAGGCTGAGTAATATTCCATTGTATATATGTACCACATTTTCTTTATCTGTTCATCTGTTGAAAGGCACCTAGGTTGGGCCACAGTTTAGCTATTGTGAATTGACCTGCTATAAATACTGAAGGGGCTGCATCACTGTAATATGCTGATTTTAAATCTTTGGGGGATAAACTGAGGAATGGGATAGCTGGGTCAAATTGTGTTTCCATTCCAAGTTTTCTGCAGAATCTCCATACTGCTTTACATAGTGGTTGCACCAATTGCAGTCCCWCCAGCATATATGAGTGTGCCTTTTTTCCCATATCCTCGCCAACAATTACTGTTGTTTATATTCTTGATAATGGGCAAGTCACTTTCTTATAAGTAAAAGGTTAGATCAGATGAGTATTAACATCCCTTCCTGCTCTCAAGTTTTTAGATTCTAAGACAATGACTCTCCTATCCACTAGAACTGATAAGAAATTTATAGAACTAGCACATAGTAGGTGCTCAAACAAATGCAGCTTCCTTCCTCTGTTTGGTCCTTTCCAAAACAGAAAAGTATGCCAGCACACTGGTGTGGCCAAGATGCCCGTCAGGTTGGGCCAGGCTCTTCGGAAGGCAGCAGGTGGCCACAATTGTCATGTTAGGAAGAACTGTGCTGAGCATTCTGCATAAATTTCCCTTTACTCCACCGGCCTCCAGGAGCAAAGATGCTGGCCTCTACTATCAGACAGTGGCTCCTTCACTCCGTTCACATGGGCTGGGCACAGCAAAAGTGCCAGGCTGAGTCAGCAGACCCAAAAGGGTTTACAGCAGCTTGGGATTTAGTTCTTCTGATCTACTATTCTCATCTAAAAAAAAAAAAAAAATGGAAACAGCAATACCTCCCTCACCCTGCTACCCTGTAGAGGAAGTGGAGTAAAATATGGATGTATCTTTGTGCAATCCATAAATGCCAGATACTAAACCTGTATTCTTTCCCATCCTTCACAGCCCTCWTCCTTTATGGGGTCCCCCAAAATGGCCACAGATAATTTTTCCCTTATTACTATTTTTGCTTAGGGTTTATTTTTTCTCRTGTGTTAGGGTTGCAATGATGTAAATAAATGTTTAAATTWAAAAAAAAAAACATGGAGCAAAAATCTTAGAATTACATGTTATATGTTCTAAGAAATYATAACATTAGCCAAATTATAGTGTTATATTGTGTGCATGTATAACAACAAATCCCACTGTTATGTACAACTATTCTATATCGATAAAAACATGGAAAACGAAAATCAAGAAGTTATGACCGATAATGGAACTGACCTTCGAAGTCATTGTTATGAGGATTCGATGAATTGAGACGTGAAGTACTCAAAACAGTGCTGGGCTCGTGTCAAGTCTCAGTGAGTATCRGCTATTTCTATCATCATCACCATGTCCTGGTACATGCCTAGATCACCCCAGAAAGAACACCTTGGAAACCAATGACAAGTGGTTGCTTCTGAGAAGGGGGAATGTGACAGGGGACAGGTGTGGAAGCAATTTTTCTCCTTCCTTTTCCATAAAGAAAAGAAAAATAATATCCCTTTTTGCCTTTTTACCTTTAAATCACTTGGATCTAGTACCTACCAATATTAAAATTTACAAAATTGAAAAAGAATGATAAGCCAGCACACACACAGCCCTGATTCTGTGACAGCCGCTTGGCTCTTGGTCCTCTCCAGCCTGGCCCTGTCAGTAGGTCCCAGTCCTTCCTCTCCATCACCAGGTTGGCCATGCTATCAGCTGAGCAACTGACCCAGCACGGTGCCAAGTAACCCCATCCACCCAGTCATTTAACCTTCACATCAACCTTGGGAGCTAGGGAGTATCATTCCCGCATTTTTTTTTTATTATTGGTTCTTCTTAGTTATACATGACAGTAGAGTCCACTTTGATAAAATTATACAAGCATGGAATATATCTTATTCACAAGAACCCAAGCCAAGGCCTTAGAGATGGTGAGTAACAGAGCAGGGACCAACTAGGTACGTCTGGGTCATGAAGCTACATGTGGACCATGAACCACCACTGATCCAACCCCTCGCCCCCACCCCACTTGCATCCAGCCAGCTGGGCACGATCTGGCCCCTCAAACAAGAAAGAAAAAAAACCTATGTTACCCCTATTTATATATTCTCCATGCTCCCCTCCACCCCCCACAAAAAATAACCATAGCTTTTCTAGCCCCAAGCAAGAATAAGCATGTAATTTTCCTATGTTCATATATATGAATACACCACCAGTGAACCTCCACGTCCTGTTCAACTGCAAAAATGGGATCCTAATTAGAATAAGTCATACTCCATGTATGTATAAAATGTCAAAATACACTGTTCTGTCATGTTTTTCCAAAAAGAATTTTAAAAAATAGGCACTTTGTTAAATATTGACTGGATTAAATCAAACTTGTCAAAAACTGCATGCCTATAATCTCACTGGCTTAGAGAGACTGAGGCAGGAAGGTTGCAAGTTCAAAGCCAGCATCGGCAATTTAGTGAGGCTTCCCTAAGCAACTCAACCAGGACATCATTATCCAAAGTACGTGTATAAAGACACAAATTGGTGTGAATATACTTTGTATACAACCAGAGATATGAAAAAGTGTGCTGTATATGTGTAATATGAATAATAATGCATTCTGCTGTCACATATAAAAAATCAATTTAAAAAAATGAAAAAATAAACAAATAAAAAAGAGGTTAGGGATATGGCTCTGTGATAAGTGCCCCTGGGTTCAATCTCTGGTATATTAAATAGATAGATAGATAGATAGATAGATAGATAGATAGGTAGATAGATAGATAAATAAAATGTGTGTGTGTGTGTGCATACACACACACACACACACACACACATATTTACACACACATACACACACACATGTAGTCCCTTGTTCAGGTCACAGTTTTCATCATTATTGTCATTATAATAGGCATATATTTCATGAGGCAAGTCCACCACGGTTGGTTCTAGAAAAAAATCCATGCATGTATAAGTTCTGGCAGATCTAGAAAGAGCTTCTATATAACACATCCATGCACCCCATAACAATGTTGTAGTCAATGATGGTTAGCATATATGACAGTGCTTCTAATAAGAATATAAAATCTCTATGGCTTAGTGACATCATAGCCATTGTGACATCCTAGCTCAACATAGATCCCTCCTTTGTTTGTGGTGAAGCTGGCATAAAAAACCTACTGCACTGCTAGTCATATAAATGCAGAGCACTTAAAATTATGCAGGATAATAAAAAGCTGTTTCTGAGTTATGTATTTACTAAACTACTTTTTAGCTGTTATTAAGTTTGCTGCAAAAGACTATGCCCTGTCACACCCACAGCAGCTTCACGCATCTCACGTTTACAGTGTCTCTTGAAGGGCCCCGTGGAGTGGCTTACTTCTATCACCTACACCTGGGTACACACACTCTGATGTTCACACAGCAAAATCGCTAATGACTCAGTTCTCAGAACATGTCAGGTCATTGAGGGACACATGACTGTACTTCAGGGAAGGGAAGA